GAGTGGGTGTGTTTTCAGACCTGCCCTCCTTCTCTCATTGGCCGTGTGAGGTTAGATAAATGACATAACCGGTCTGAACTTCACTTCTCACACGTGGGTTAAAAAACAAAGCCGATTTCTTCGGCACGTCTCCAGTTCTGAAGTACTCTAACTTTGCAGGGATGTCCTAGTTTGACAACATGGGGAGAAATTAGAGGGAGAAGTTAGGCTACCAAAGTTTATATGGCACTGGACAATCTATAAACATGAATATATAATATGTATCCTAATATAGAATATGCTAACATACATATCATATATTTGATATCATGATATATACATACATGTATGTGTGTGTATATATATATATATATATACACACAATGGGACAATACTGTCCAGCATGAAATTAGCCAGCAGACAGATAGTTTTGCTATTAGAAAGATTTATTTCATCACCTGCAAGGTGCTTTAAGGAAGGATCACATTCACATTCGGTATGATTACTTTCCTGTCCTCAAGACTTTAATAACCCCGGAATCTAGAGTTTAGACTGTTATACCAGGAAAAATGAGCTGTTGTCTACACACGTCAATTTCTTTTCCATAGTCCTAAAGCCGTAGCAAATTAAGGGGGAGATACCCAGGTTTTTATATCCAGACCCATGTTGTTAGTATCAGATTGACCAGCAAGCATCTTTTGAAATGCAAAAGAATTGTATTGTATGCTTTTAGAATTGTATGCTTTTAGAAGACTCACAAGGTCATATATAGACATACACAAATATATGTATCTATACATATATAGATAGATATCTTTTTGGTATTATCATTTCGCATGCATTTTCTTCAACTGTTCATCATGACAGTGCTTCGAATCTATGCCTTCCTACTTTTTCAAGAAAAGTAGTAAACCCATACCAGAAACATGGGCTGACAAGCTGCCATAAAATTATTCTCTCTGGCCAAAATTTTCCAGGAAAATGTGACAATTTAGCCTTACTTGTTTTCTGTGATAGAGAAGAATATAGTTCGGGCGCCTGGGTGGCTCGGTTAAGCACAGAACTCTTGATCTCAGCTCAGGTCTTGATCTCAGGGGCGTGAGTTCAAGCCCCACGTTGGGCTCCAGGCTGGGTGTGGAGACTACTTTAAAAAAAGAATTTTAAAAGAGAAAATATCATATTCCACAGTTCAACCGTGGTTTCTTAAAAAATATAGTTCAGTTATGGAAGAGAGATGCATACCTACTCAGTCTAGTTTTTATAGCAGAAAAATTGAAAGCTGGTCTCATTATCCATCATGGCTATCATAACATTTAGGGATGCCTTGTGGGCAGCTATCCCAGAAAGCTCCAGGACGTATATCTCTGGAATGAAGAAGTAAAATTTCGCAGATGGGATTAATTTATTTTTATTCCCTTTTTTTTTTCTTTTGGCTTTTTATGACACTATGTATATAATAAAATCCTAATCAAATACTTCTTCCAGAATGTGGGAATAGTAAAAGAGAGAAACAAAATTAAGTATCCTTTTCAACTCTGTTCAAGAGTCATTGAGATGTCCTGGTATGAAATCTTAAAGCAGCCACTATTTTAAGGGCCACCGTGTCAACATTTTCAGCTTACTTACAGTGGGCTCAAAAAGTCAGACTACCAAACGTGCATGCTTAGCGCTGCATGGTAATTCTACTAGATTTGATCCAGAGTTGAATTCCCTGCTGCCCTCTGAAGCCCAGTCCTCAGCAAGAAAGAAGAAAAGGGAGCTTGATAGTGAACATTTCCCATATTTAAAATTCAGGGGGCAAATTGACATTTTAATTGCACGCAGATACAGGAAACCGGAGACCTAAAGCATCCATTTTCCCCGGCTTGAAAGTTTATGTCGGAAGCTCCTGTATTTCATACAAAATATGCCTCTTTGGCCCATGAAATCTGATGGCTTCAGAAAAGAAGAATTAGGTGTTCCTTTGATCTAGCTTATAAATGCATCTGAACCACACCTTTCAGATGATAATGCTTTTTATTTCCCCCGTGCCTTGGTGTTACGACCCTCTAGCACCCTGGTGAGGAAGTGACTGGTGAGGGGAGATTCCCTGCAAAGATAAGAAGGCTCTTACCGCCAGGATCACATGTGGGGAGGGCGCGGAATGAATGCTTCCCCCCACTCCTCCGGCATTAAACTCAGCCTCCCGACTCTCGGGGCTTAGAAAATGGCTGCGAGTGAAGAATTGTTTTCTCTGAGAGTTATGCCCGAACATTCCTGCTAAAGCAGGCAGTCATCAGTTAATCTCTGTAAATGACTACGATTTTGGCAGGTGTCAGCTGATACAGAAATTGCTCACATGTTAAAACTTTTGGTTTTTTTAGACGTAGGGCAATGAGAGGGGACTAATGCAAACAAATCATCTCAACGTTGTGCCTGGCCACAGTAGCGGCTTACCTAAAATGACTTATTCCTGCTCCATGTTTTTGGTGGCACGAGATCCCCAACCTTGGGGACCGAGGCGGACACAACCGAGAGCCGCACTTCAAAGGCAGACCGTAGAGTCCAAATTGCCAAATGCTGTGTACTCACAATGATCTCGTATACATCATCCTTCTGGATCACCCTCTGTCCTTGACACGGTGTTCTTCAAAAATGCCACTGGGTGCCCAAGGAATGTGAAGTTTTGAAACGGGTACAAAACCTGCTGGAAGCCTCTGTACCATTATTTCGCCAAACCGGCGTTCTTTCTGAGGCAGTGGAACTCCCCAGAATCATTTGTCCTGCCCTCTTGTCTCCCTGACTCCTAATACCAACCATTAGGTCGTGGTAGGCATTTAAAACTGCTTTGAATGGCTTCTGAGTTGGAATTCTTTTGCTTGTAGGAATACCAGATTTCTCAGTCTGATCAGCGGAAAGCTAAGAATCTGTCCCAAATATAAAAGGAGGGAGGAGTCGGGGTGCCTGGGTGGCTCAGTCGGTTGAGCGTCTGACTTCGGCTCAGGTCATGATCTTGCGGTTTGTGGGTTCGGGCCCCACGTCGGGCCCCGTGCTGACAGCTCAGAGCCTGGAGCCTGCTTCGGATTGTGTCTCCCTCTCTCTCCGCCCCTCCCCCACTTGCGTGCGTGCGCGCTCTCTCTCTCTCAAAAATAAATAAACATTAAAAAAAAAAAAGGAGGGAGGAGTCAGGGAAAGATCCATCCAGAGACACTGAATTACACCATGATCCACTGAAATAGAATGTTCTAGAAAAAGACATTTTCATACTTCTGAGAGAAAGGGATGACAGGAGTTGTTCCGGGACGTGGCCTTATGGCCTTTCGCCCACAAGGCCAGTGCTTAAAATACTCGGCCGGTAAGAGGCCTCTCACATGTGTGCTGGCCCTGTGTGACTCAGGCTGTTTGTGTTCAGGTCGAGTGTTGTGGGCTGCGGGGCTGAATCAGAGTCCAGATTTGCCTTGGTGACACATGAAAAGAGGGAGCGTTGCGTTTGAACTACACAAATATTATGCTTAAGTCGTTTTCCTCATTTTGGAGCCAAACAGGTCTTGTCCATGATAAAAATCACTGCAGTATAGTGGGTCCTTTTTTTGGTCTGGAATTTGAGACTGCATCCACTGTGCCAAGGGGCCTGGCAGCAGGAAGAAACGGCAAGCCACGGAGATTTGGAGCCGTAATACAAGTTATAAAATTTAATTTTGTCATTGTAGCGATCGGGAGCTGGGCTGAAATGCACTCCTCCCACCCCACTGCCCCCCCAGGCCGGGGAGAGTAGACCCCTGGAATTCTCTTTCTAACTGCGGGCTGGGTCAGGGCATGTGAAGCAGCCCCAGTTTATGGCAACGAGGTCCAGTGTTGTTTGGAGGCCGCCTGACAATGGCGGAGGGGGTTGGGGGGGGGGTCGGTGTGTGAAATTGGTCAATGACCCTTTATTCGAACCACAGGGGTGAGGAAGGAGCAGGGGCACATCGTCTTTCAAAGGGGAATGAATGAATCGCCTGGCCCCGCGGTGGCTAGATCGGTACATCTCGAGCCTCAGTTCTGCTTGCCAGGCCTGCGTCTCCAGTGTAGAGACATTTTGTTGGAGGAATTAAGGAAGGAAACAGGAGGCCCAACCCTCCCGGCCTGTCCCATGTGAATGGCCTCTGCTCACTGCATCGTGGTGACAGTGACTTTGATGGGGAACAAGGCAAGGACACTCACCATCTATACAGACACTGGGCCCCCCCCCCCTTGGATTCCTGAGCCCCTGGGCCAGCTCCTCATGTCTGCTGGCACATCCTCTGGGCTCCAGTGGGCCCATCCTGCTGGGAATACTGGACCCGTTGAGGCCCAGGCTACACCTTCCGGTCCACCCCCCTCTTAGAGGGTGCACCTGGGGAAGTCAGCTTCAGGAAGGAATGCTCAAGAATGCCCATAGAAAGCTTTCGAGGAGAGGGAGAGGAGAGGGGCCGAGGGGCTGCCCGAGCCCTGCATTTAGCAGGAAATCGGACCTCCCCAAGGACTGTGGGTTTGCAGCCACACCTCATTTCCTGTTGGAAGGGGCGTGCGCTGAGCTCCAGGGCCCACTCTGCTGCCTCTAAAACCTGCCAGTGGTGATTGGATTTGCAGTAGGGAGCGGCCGTTCCGATGCCACAGGGAAGGGACCTTTCCTGGCTGCCACAGCTTCGCCCGTGGTGTGCGGCCGAGCGCCAACGACCGATGCTCCTTCTCTCCCTCTCGACCTGACGCGGTCACCAAGGCGGGTGCGCCCCCCGCGTTCTGCCCAGCGGAGGTGGGCGCACGGGGTTAGGGAGACGGGGCGCACACTGGGTGGGCCGCCCAGTGGCCTGGGACGATGGGGGCCCCGAATCCCCCCCCCGGGGCGCCCCAGCCAAGCATGCAGACCTCCAGCGAAGCCACGTTGGGGGCGAGGGGAGAGGGAGGGGAAAGACAAGAAAACCCCGGATGTCAGGAAATCCACAATACATTTTCTGATCTTTTCCCTCCCTCCTTCCTTGCCTCCCTCTCCCCTCCCCACCCCACCCCCCTCCCCGCAATAGGACATCGTCAGAAACTAGATGATCAGACCAAGCCCGGGAGCTTGTCCTTTTCCGAGCGGCTCAGTGAGCTGGAGCAGCTGCGGCGAACAGCCATGAGGGTCAGCCCACACCACCCAGCCCCCACACCCAACCCTCGGGCCTCCTTGAACCACTCCACTGCCTTTAACCCTCAGCCTCAGAGTCAGATGCAGGGTAAGTACCTGGAGGGAGCCCGCTTCCCGCCTCGCCCTCGGGCCGCACCCCCTCCCCCAGACCAGTCCTGGCTTCTTCCTCCTCCTTGCGCTGAGGGTGGTCCTCGTGGGACCAGCAGCCTCGTAGACACGCAGGGTCTCTGGCCCAGCCCGGACCTACTGAGTCAGATCTGCCTTGTACTGAGATCCCCAGATCCGGAGGCTTTGGTGCCTAGGATATGGAGAGATATCTATCTATACGTAGATAATATCTTGAATGTTTTCAAGAGTTAGCTTTGGCTATGTTGTTTTCCTCCCTACCCATTAGGCTAGAACACACACGCACGTACACACGCACGCACCCCAAGCGAGGTGAAAGTCAGGAGGTTTCAAGTTCCTGTGGGCTTCAGATCATTGGTGGGGCTTGTACCTAATATATGTCCTTTACGAAAATATAAAGAAATACGAGGAAAGTCTGGCTGCCATCACATCAAAGGTATTATTTACAATAAAATAAATTTGCAATCAATAAAGAGTGCAGATTAACACACACACACACACACACACACACACACACACAGCCATACACGCATACCCTGGGGTTTAGCTAGCAACTGCAAAAACACTGTAAAATACAGTAATTGCATAAAATGCCCTGTGCCAAATTAGATAATACACAAAGTTCATTTGCACCGTAGAAACCACTGACGTCAATGGTTATTTGCTCTGTGATACCATGTCAAATTTCCGAAATACAGTCCCTTACTCTGTGCTGTGCAGCACACAGCTGTATGTGATATGGTCACAGTCAGATTCTCTTCTCCAAGTAGTAGGCTTGTTGGACTCAAAGGGAGAGATAAGGGACACATCTGGGGGAGAGAGCAGGTGGCCAGCCAGGGACACGCTACCAGCCCCCCCCCCCCCCCCGAGACTGCCAAAATTCGCTTCCCCGGGTGCTTTCTCTGTGTGAGTCGTATTGCGGGATGTGCTCTCCTCGTGAGTTCTTCAAGGTTTCTCGACCAGTACCCCTCTTTTGGGGCTAGCACTTGGGGGGTCCTCGAAGAGTAGGCTGACTCTCTTGCCCAGAGTTCGACGGCTCCTGTCCCAGGCTCTCATAATGATGTTTCTGGGGGCGGTTCTTTTATTTGCTTGGAAAATTCCCAAAGACGGCTTCCCGTCAGATGCTCGGCACACAGCTGTTAAGTGGCCTGTGGGTAGAGTGGCCCCTCTGTATCGGAACAGAAACCCAGAGCTTGATTCGGGCAGGTTGTCTCTCATCTACAGACTCATCTTAGGTGTCTTGAGACATAGCCTCCGTGAAAGCATCAGGTTTATGGTGCTTTATCGTGACTAGTCATTCAAAAATATGCACACTGATCTTTTCTAATGCCAAAATGCAGGCGTGGACGGTAAATTGGGTCGAATGGCACATTAATGGAAAGCGATGGGCAAGGGGTTGAATGATACTTGCCTTCCAGATAGAACAAACTGTCAAGGCGATTTTTTGATCTTGTGTTGAGGGCCATTGAAATTACTTTACGTCACCTGCAGACCTCCATCTGTGACGTCAAAGGGAAGATTTCTATTCTCTTATTCTCTCGTCGTATGCCGGGCCATTTATACTACTAGGTTGATGAAGGGACTTGCCTTTTTCTCCTGATATTGGAACCAAAACTATTCAGCATTTTTTAGAAAGCAATGGAAAATTCAACCACAGCGGGGGCAAGTTGAAATGGTCACCCTGAAGCCAGCTTTGTTTTCAGACGGTTTTGGTGAGGAGTGAATCAGATCTGATTTCCCTCCTTGTCAGATACGCTCTTTTTTTTTTTTTTTTTTTTTTTTTTTTTTAACAAAAAGGAGAGGGGGAGGGTGGTAATTGAATTCTTGTCCTCGGCAGTCAGCAGCTCTTGGGTGGAGACACGACCGTGGACAGGCATTCCTCAGCTCTTTGGAATACTGTATGCTTAGCAGAGTATCAGGTTTAACACAGAGCATCACCCCTTTATTGTTCCTTTTGAAAACTTTTTACTTCTGCAACATGTAAGTAATAATAACTTGCTTTTAGAGGGCCCTAGAGGCTTGGTTGCTATGCTAAAGAATGTGTTAACTATATTGCTAATGCTCTTTCTTTCCAAAATATGATTTGCTGGTCAGTACATCACTTGTAAAATTATAGGAACTTTTTAAAAATAACCGCCCAAGATATATTCGTGTAAAACTCCTTTTTCTTTCTTCCTTTTTTTTTTTTTTCTATAAGGAAATGTTTTTTTCCCTTAGTCATGGTTTGAGTAGACCCTGGGGATTTTTTTTCCCTGAAATTAGAAAGTTAACAGGGATAATAGTAAAGTCTCTTTCAGCCAGAACCTTCATTTTGTTCTTGACAAGTAGGAAAATGGTTATTTTCCTGGCTTAGCTCTGGAGACTCCATATTATATTTAAGAAGATGCTTTATGTAAAAATTCAGCATGTGTTTATGGCTCTCTTTGAAAAGGCATCAATCGCTATTAAAAAAATATCCCAAAGGTAGTCATGGAAGTTGAATAGGGTGCCGTACAGATGTGTGAATGTTTTCAGCATCTGGAAACATCAGCAGCTGGGGGCTTGGAGAGATCGTGGGCTGACAGAGAGGCTGGGACTTCATCCGGAGAGCTACGCCTGCCCCTTCAACTCTGCCCGTCGGAAATCACAGATGTAGAATAACGCCTCTGTTTATCTGCAGTCAGATGTGCTTGAGAGTCCCCCAAAACAGACATCTCAAATTATCTGAAGCAAGGTAAGGGAAAAGGGGGCAGGCCGCCACCCACCAAACCACTGTTCGTTTGGTGAGGTTTTTAACTATTAAGAGGGCTGAGGTCAATTTCAACTTCCTACTTTTCCAGCTCTTAAAAGTGAAGAGAAAGCCATTTTGTCGCGGCTACACGATTAGGCAAGAGAGCATCACGAACTGCTACGGGCGAGGTTTAGGATTCTCGTAGAGTCATGGGAAGGAAGACGGACACGTGTCCTTTCAAAAGATGGGACAGGACAGATTCTAGCAAGATGAGGTCGCCGATGCTCAATCGGTCACACGCACTCCTTTAGAGATGGCTCCAGGCGACCCAAGCAAGTCATTTTAAGAATTTGACTCCTGATTTACCAGAACTGATGAACCACATTTACAGCTGCATAACCCCCACCTTTCTGGGAAGAGGTAGACAGACTCACATCTGAAGAAACTGGAGAAAGGAAGGGGCCAAAGTTTTGTACTGCTGCTGCATGTTGGCGTGAGGTTCAGCTCTTTAACCCGTTACGCTGTATTTTGGCACAGGTCAGACCTTCTGTACACGTTATTCCGCTCTCACCGCGATCCCCTGATGCGGGTTGTAGACAGAGGGGATAAACCCCACAGGCTAACAATTGCCCAGATTCTCCAAGAGCAGAAATGACGGACTTAGACTCAAACCCAGATCTTTCTGGCTACGGAGCCAGTGTTGCGAGGGTGGCAGGTTCTGTTGGATCAAGGATCCATTAGACTCAAGCCTGACCAGGGTCAAAAGATCCAGATCCTCAAAGAGGCGAGGGGAGGAGTGCTGAGCTGGACATTCACGTGCCTTCTGTTAGCATTAGATGTTGCTGATGATGATAACCTTAGGGCCAGACTCTGTGGTGGGCACCTCGAAAAACTATCTTTTTGGGGGGTGGGGGGCATCAAGCAGGGGGCTTGATTTTTCAAGCTGGGGACAAAAGGACACTTAACTCAGAATCATGAATCTCCAGCATGAGGGAACGAAGGACGAGGAGGGCTTCCCAACTGTTCTTTGTTTCCTGGGGCAGCGGCCCGGCCTTCCTGCATGTACGAGTCTGTCTCTCTTGGGGTCCGTTGTTGCCGGAACCTTCCGAACGTCCAACCACAAGCCACCTCTGATCAGCCTTGAGGAGTATGCGCGTGCCTCTCGCCGAGAGTTGAGAGTATGGCCAGAGAGTGGAGACCCTGACATCTCAGATTCACCTCCTGATTTTTAGTATTCCAAACGATTTTTGCTTTGATAGTGATTTTCCCCAAAAGTCAAAGTTACTTTGGAAAGGCTACGGTTGTCTGTGAAGCTTTTGGAGGTATGAATTGACTTTGTTCCTCAGCTATCCGGTTACATATGTCAGTGTTTATCAGCCACATTGACAAAAGGGAAAAAAAGAACCTTTCTACTTCCCTGTAGGAGGTGAGAGAAATCCCCTTTCCAGCCTTGGGGGTAAAATATCAAACTTCTCTTTTCTTCTCTTTACTTCTTCTCTGTCGCTCTCTCTCTCTCTCTCTCTCCTTCCTTTTTCGTCTAGAAGTTCAAAATCAGAGTGGGGTGGGGGACTATATATCCAAAGCCAGAGGGGTCTGCACATGTAAATCTACAAATGGTCATTTAATGCTTACACAACAAAGCAAACTAGTCAGGGAGCTAGGAATCGACTTAGAAGCCATGCGGTAAAGGTGAAAAGTGAATGATTTAAAAATCACTCTTATCTAGCATGGTAGAACTTGAGAGCCTTTAGAGGTTTACGACGTCAGAATCTGAACACGATTGAGATCAAGCCTGAATCGGGTGTCCCTGTAAATACAGAAAAATAAATAAATGCGAGAGGGAAGGGACGGATGGAAAAGGAAAACAGTGGAAAGGATGCAGAAGGAGGAGTTCACGTGTGAGGGGCGCCCGGGTGGCTCAGTCGGCTGAGTGTCCGACTTCGGCTCAGGTCACGGTCTCGCCGTCTGTGAGTTCGAGCCCCGTGTCGGGCTCGGTGCTGACAGCTCGGAGCCTGGAGCCTGCTTTGGCTTCTGTGTCTCCCTCTCTCTCTGCCCCTCCTCCGCTTGTGCTCTGTCTCTGTCGGTCTCTCAAAAATGAATAAATGTAAAAAAATAATAATAATAATTAAAAAAAAAAAAGAGTTAACGTGTGGGTGAGCAAGCTGACAGGTGCCACTGCTGTGTCCTGTCCTCTCTTCTCAGGAGCAGGCGGAGGGGTTAGAGTTAACAGAGCTAAAAGCATTCTCAAGGCAGGAATTGAGAACCCAGTTTACTGTTTCCCCTGTTCTTGGCTGGTGCAATGTAAACTGTAGGTTTAAGGAAAGTTTGAAAAGCTCATATCAATGAATCGCGTCGTAGACATGCAGAAAAAGAGAAAGGGGGATGGGAAGAAAGCTAAGTCTGTTTTCTCCTTGAGAAAAAGGCCGTAAGGCCTTCGCCATTGTAGCTTGGGTTGAATGTGGCTACCGTGTGTCTAACACCCTTGATTTCCATTCACGGCCTGTGAGTTCCTCTCGCGCTGTGTTGATGGCGAGGCATGGTAAGCGACACAGAACCCCCTTGAACGGCACGGCTCAAAATGCCTGCACTGTATTTACAAGCACCGCACAGCTAAGTACTTAATAAACCAGCCCTTCAAAGGAGCCGCCGGCCTCGTGAGCTGTCAGCACCCGTAATCATAAACCACATTTTTAGCGGGACTACATTTTCAGACCAAACGTTTTCATGGATGTCGTTCAAGGTGATCGGACCGTGTTTTCCAGAGCGTGTTGGCAATGCTCTTCTAATGCTTTTCTAATTACAAGAAAGAAGGGTTCACTTTAGGGCCTGATCTTAAGGATAAAATATTCCTTCTGAGGATTTGATATGTTCTGAACAGTCCCCTCGTTCTGGTAATCTACAGGCCGGCACGCGGGTGTGTGGGTGCACACACACATACAGAGTTTTTGCTCAGAAGAGCAAGGTTTTAATAAAACTCTAGCTGGAGCACTTCCATGGTACCGATGATTAAATGGCGAGAGGGAGAGCTGAGCTGAGGACCTAACGGCTTAGAAAGACAGTGCACAGTGGCTAAGAGTGAAGGCTCAACTGGCAGACCACCTTGGCCTAACCCCGGCCTCTACCGTGTATTGCTCTGGGACCTCTGGCAGGTTACTTAACGACTTAAAGCCTCAGTTTCTCCACTTGCAAAACAAGAGCAGTAATTATGCTTGGAGATTCTAGGGCCATCGTGAAGCATGAAGCGGTGAGCCGTAGATTCAGCCCGTGGAAAACACTTAAAACCGTTAGGGGCGCCTGGGTGGCTCAGTCAGTTGAGCATCCCACTCTTGATTTCGGCTCAGGTCGTGATCGCACGGTTTGTGAGTTCAAGCCCCGCATCGGGCTCTGTGCTGACGGTGTGGACAGCCTGCTGGGGATCCTGTCTCCCTCTCTCTGTGCCACTCCCCCCCCCCCCCCCCCCGAGCACGCAAATCCGTGCCTCTGGGTGTTCCTTGGCTCCTGGCTCTCCCTTTCCAGGCTCCCCTTTCACCTTCATACGGCCTCCTTGTCTGTGTCATCCCCCTCTTCTGTCTCTTATGAGGACACTTGTCACTGGATTTAAGCCCCACCCAGATAAACCAGGAGAATCTCATCTCTTCTCACTGAATCACATCTGCAAAGATTGTTTCTCCAAATAAGATCACATTCACGGGTCTGTGGCTCAGAACATGGACACACGTTTTTTGGTCGAGGGGCGGCGGGGGGGGGGGGGGGGGCGGGGCAAGGGGAGGGGGAAGGGCCAGTGGGCACCATTCTAGCAATACACCAAAGTAGAAAGGACAGGAGGCCGCAGAGGAGTCTAGAAATAACTTTGCTGCGTCCACCCCCCAGAGCAGATATTTTAGGCAGGGGACATATGGACACAGTGGCTCACGTTAAATGCCTCCATCATCTCTTCTGGCCAGCAGGTCAGCCCGTCATTGCTGGCACTCAGTATCATGGTACTTTTATCTCCCAGGCAGCAAAACATAGGATTTTTTTTTTTTTTTTTTTATGTGAAGTCAGACATTTCTTAACATTTTCTAGCGCACGTAGGCAGATGGGACCAGAGGGCCAGCAGTGCTAGGTAGGGAAAGGTCACGGGGATCTCTGCCCTGTCTCATGGGAACCACACAGACCAGCAGACTGGAGGCCTGGGTGCCCTCTGCCCTCGCCCCCAACAGCTCATGACGCTGTGGATGGTGGTAAGCATGGGCTCAGAAGACGACAGGAAGACCACAGCCAGCCAGTTGGGACGGACTCAAGATTTGGACCTCCCCAGAGCTAGGCGTATCACTGTCATTTGGGACAAGCTGCCTTTCTTTGAAAAATGGCTTTATGGCAAGGCATTGTTGACCGGACGCACATTTCGAAAGGCTGGCGATTCACTTTGCATGCCCCATAATCCCAAATTTACAAATCACCCGAAGATAGCCTTTCACATTTGTATATTTAAAAAAGAAACTTTGACTATGGCCACGAAGTCGTGTCCAAGTTTGCCCAAAGTTTGCACCCAGGGAGGAACAAACCATACTCTCTGGTAGCAAAGCCAGGGTCTGGGTTAGAGAGCTACTGTGCTTTCTTGTAAGGGGTGGTTCCCCAAGCTGAGCTGGTTTCACTCATGGGCGTTAGTTTTCCTCACGTCGAGGAGCGGCAAGGCAGGCCCTGCTGTAATTCAGTTCTTTTAGGGGCTGTTTAAAAGCACATGGGGTTTAAATAATGCTGAGGAACCCTAACGACTTCTGCCTCTCCTTATTCCTCTCTGGCCCTCGGGGCCTCACTGTCAGCCCTTTTTTTTTTTTTGAATTTTTTTTTTTCAACGTTTATTTATTTTTGGGACAGAGAGAGACAGAGCATGAACGGGGGAGGGGCAGAGAAAGAGGGAGACACAGAATCGGAAACAGGCTCCAGGCTCTGAGCCATCAGCCCAGAGCCCGACGCGGGGCTCGAACTCACGGACCGCGAGATCGTGACCTGGCTGAAGTCGGACGCTTAACCGACTGCGCCACCCAGGCGCCCCACTGTCAGGCCTTTTGGAGGAAAGTGTACCCAGGGCTTCTCAGACCTCAGGAGCCGCCTCGGTACATAGTTGTCTCAGATCCTCCCATTTTACGTCCGTCCGTAGCCTTCGCCCCTCTGGAGCTTTCCGATTATTGAACAATAATCTGCCTCCAAAGCAGAACAGCCCAATTGTTATGGAGATTAAAGGGACGGATTGCAAAACACCTGTAAATAAAATCTTCACTGACAAACGCAGTTTCTTTCCACAGACCTTTCTTCCGTAATCTCTTTCTGGCAGAACATTTTATGTTTTGATACCAGAGATTCAGTTACCAACCACAGTAAATAAAACAAAATAATTTCAAAAAATGGTATAGAACTCACCCGAAAAACAAACATTGGCCAGTCATGCTTATTTTCTGTTTTTTTTTTGTGCACGCCTGAGGATTGACCGCGGGGCGGGGGGGCCCCCCGCGCAGTACTTCTTATCCAGTTGATTTTTTTTTTCCTTTCTATTTTTTTTAATGTTTATTTATTTTTGAGAGCCAGAGAGACAGAGCGCGAGCAGGGGAGGGGCAGAGAGAGAGAGGGAGACACAGAAGCCGAAGCAGGCTCCAGGCTCTGAGCTGTCAGCACAGAGCCGGACGTGGGGCTCGAACCCACGAACCATGTGATCGTGACCTGAGCCGAAGTTGGACTCTTACCCTTTTGTAAAGGGGATTCACTGTAAGATGGAACCCCCTGTTTGTCCGCCTGGAGGGAGTGTGGACGAGATGGGGGAGGAGGTGGGAGAGAACTGACCAACGCGTCTCATGTCACCTCATGGCTGTCGCGTGGCCGTGAAACCTGAGCTTTAAAACACACAGCACGAACACACTTGGAGCTCACTCCTGCTCACCATCTTGGTCTTCCAGCCGACATTACTGAATCTACGCCTCCGTAAGTCAGTGCGATCATCGTGCTGAACAAGGCTTGGGCTGCTGGGGTGGCGAGCCCAGTCCCGCTGGGAGGAAGGGGGACGATGCACCGTGACCCTTCTGCTGTGGGGCTTTGGGTGTGGCCACCAGTGATGTCGTAAAGGCAGAGCATCCTTAGAGAAAGCCTCTGCGTCGGCACCACCCTGGGTGTGAGCAGTTCACCCATCCGGGACATTTAAATCTCCCAGATCTATAACTTGCTGGTTCCCACAGAGGAACTGTCTTTACTTACAGCTTTATGTGTTCAACTGAGTCACTCCGAGGCCAGACCCAAGACCCAGGGAGCTTACGCTGTGCCAACAACTCCTACCGTCTTTAGGAAGGTCGCATGTGGACGCTGACCTGCAGGAGTGGGGGTGGGGGAGGTCGAAGAATCTCTCAAGGTAAAAAGGGAGGAAGAAATAACCTGACCAGTGATAGTGCTCTTTGGAGTTGCAGGTCGCACAAGGGAAGTGAACGTGGTTGTTTTATTAAGTCTCATGGGGTTTGTGCCCAATGTGGCCACTCACACTGCATTAGCCCATGTCTCTGTAAGATCAGATGGCAAATTATATGATAAAGTTATTAAAATATCTGGAAAAGTCAGCACGAGCTCAAGGGCTCGCCTCGGCATTTCTGCCCGTTAAGTGGTTTATTGAGATCGCCCCTCTCGAGGTCTGTTCATCTTCATCCGGATGTTGTTGTAGATTGCCAGCTCTGTAGAACCGTCATTTGCCTGAATTCTCGGCCGTGATTCTGTGGCTGGTCCAAGAGGGTTGGTGTCTTCGGGGTGAAAGCACAAGTTTTTGAAACGCGCAGTGATGTCGCCCCCCCACCCCCCACCCCGCCGGTTTTGAACCTGCGGCATAGGTTGGTGACGGCGTCTATGCTGGGGTTGTGATCGGAGCAGACTGCGGTGAATTATGACGAGGACGCTGCCTGGTTCACGCGTGTACCAAAGGCAATAACAAAATGGAGCCCATGGTTTTGTCGTTGGTTCATGTAATCCCCACCACCTGTCACCCGTGAGGCGCAGGGCGCTGTCCTGAGGGTCCCGCCTAGTGGGCCCGCACAGGCGCACAGCCTCCACGTGGTCAGTTCCCGCCGTTCCCTTTACCGCCAATCCCGGGTCCCCCCGTCTCATATAAGCAATTACAGACATGGGCTTCAACGCTAATATTCTGTACTTCTGGTTCCTGCAGCTCCTGGAGATCACTGGTCACGCCGAACATTCTCAGGAAAACCAGTAGGGATGTCCCGGAATACCTCTACTCGGTTGCTTATGATTAAAAGGCCACCTTTCCTTTCTTTCTTTCTTTCTTTCTTTCTTTCTTTCTTTCTTTCTTTCTGTCTTCCTTCCTTCCTTCCTTCCTTCCTTCCTTCCTTCCTTCCTTCTATTTTTGGTAATATTTTTGCCGTGGGATTGAGCTTTCTGAGGCACCATATGTTGCCAAATGAGAGAAGTCATTGCCCAGACGTGGATCTGTTTAATTTAATATGATTTTCCACAAATTACAAAGCATGACTTCAAAATTGAATTTGTGCAAAATTACCGATGGCCAATTTCAGGTGGACGGGAGAGGAAATCTTGTTAGTCTTATTCCAGAATCTCTTCCCGATTTCCTCATTTGATTCTTTCACGCCTCGGGGGAGGGGGGGCGGTCGGGGGCGCGGCCGGTGGATACATTAGGGGGTCTATAAGGAGTTTCTTTTACTTTTCAAACTTTCTCCCTGGTCATTCATGGCTCCCTCAGACAGAGACACAGCGGCCTGGAGATGTCAAGACAGGGCAGATACAGCTGTTCCTCCCATCTTATCATCAGAAGAGACTCAGAAAAAAACAGGGGGCCCCCCTGCCCCCCCCCCCCCGAGAATGCACTTTCTCAGGAAAGCAGAATCTGGATCTATAAATTAGCACTAAAAGCTATATGGCGGATAGTGGGTACGGACTTTGGAATTCCAATCCCAGGTTGGCTGCTTCCCAGTTATGTGATCTTGCAAAAATTACTGAAGTCCTTTGTTCCACTGCTCCCCATCTGTAAAATGGGTGCGGTAATATTAGCACCTGACTCACCGGCGAGCTGTGAGGACAAATGAGTTACCATTCGTATGCCCGGCCCGCAGGGAGCGTCGCGTGTATTTACTCCTATTACGTCAGGAGTTTGCCGCAGGGATTGAGGTATATTTTCGTCAAGGGTTTAAGCACAGCGCCCACTAAATAAGTGGTTGGTGTCATTTGCTTTACTCTTAACGCTATTATTGTTCTCGTGCTGGTGGCAGTGGTATATCACCAGGGTGTCACATATCCGTCCATCCTGCCCGGTTCGGATGAGCCACACAGCCACTCTGTGACACTCACCTTGTGTCTCCTTGTTCCGCAGGAGGACAGGAGCCCTGTCTGTGGTGGTTTCAGTAGGGTCTTCGAGTCCTGTCCCGTTTCCTTGGGTGAACTCCAACAGGAGAGCCCATAACTGCTGCTCCACAAGGTCAAGTGGGAACGGCAAACTGTTGTAGCTGAAAGGGACCTTATTCTTCTTTGCTCCGTGCCCTTTATTTTACTCATGAGACACCCGAGGCCCAGGGAATCACAGGGATTGGCCTAGTTGGAGGCCGACCTGAACTCCAAGTCTTGGGACTCCTGGTCCAGTGCTCATCCCGTTGGTCCGGCCCGCCTCGGAGGTGGCCACGGAATATAGGGTATGGAACCCTCGTTAGGACACGTAATCCTGCTCTGCCTTCCGCGGCCCTTTTCTAGAAGTGTGCGGTCTCCTCAACGAGACGATAGGCCGCGTGGTCGGGTCCCATATCCTGTGCTTCTTTGTGTCTCCGTTTGCAAAATGCTCAATTCCACACTTGCGTAGGGGTTCTGCGAAAAGGCAAGGCTAGGGTACCCGTCTCCAGGCCACCCTGTGTCCTTCTCAGCCCCACAGAGCGCCCCCCCAGCCCAGCTCCCTGGGGGACAGCAAACAGCTGCAGAAGGGCTGACGGGACACTCCGTGACCACAGGGCCCACGTGGGCAGCAGCCGCGGATGAACCCCGACCCGTCCCTTACTTGCATGAATCGGACACATTCAGAGAATGTGAATGGTCAGCCTCTTTGGCATTTTTAACGAACCATCTACAAAAGGATTTCTTTGAACCTAGTTTCACCTTCCTGTGTGATTTTAAGTAAATACCTCCCTGGGCCGATTCCGCCCACAGGCCCGGGCCTTGAAAGCCTGCTGGCGGCTTGGGCTGGCGGGCCAAGAGGAGGCCTGCAGACAGGTGTGCGAGGGTTTTGGGGCGGGGCCGGGCAGCCACAGCTGTGGGAACTCGGCAAAGCCGGGGCTGGGGGGGTGCTGGGGACGGGTGCTCAGTGACAGTCCCATGTCCCAGTTCAGGACACCGCTGCCAACTTCTGCATCTAGGCCGCGCGGACGAGGGAGCTAGGGCCAGACACAGGCGTCCCCGCGACTGACCACCGCCGTGATTTCAGAGTCAGGGTCACGGGCGGCAAGACCAGAGCCACCCAGGGCCTTCACGGGAATCCCGTGGGCAGCTACCAAGTGTCCCTCTGTCAGAGGCGCTGACTCGAGGGTGGCTTCCGGGCTCCCTTGCATTGGTGGTCACCTGTCCTATGTGCACCTTAGTTAAGGGTTAATCAAGAGAAGCAGGGACTTGAGGCCCCGCACCGACTAAGCACGTGGACCGGCCCTCCCGGCTTCGCCTCCCACAGCGCCTGACTCTTGACGAGTTATGACCATAGCCCTGGGCGGGGTGGGGGGGGGGCGGTGCTTAAGCTCCAGGCCTCGCACTGGAGGTTCTCAGGGCTGGTCCGAGAACCACAGGTTTCTAAAGAACAGACCAGAAGAGGGGGCGATAAAGGAAATGCTGGGAAATGGCTCTTTTTGTTGCTCAGAAGAACAGAGCCATTCGGAAACATAGCATCCAGTGGTGTCGGAAGTTTTCCCAGCCAGGGGAACGATCGATGTCCCCTGGTTTGGGCAGTGCTTACAGTGACTTTGAACTTCTGACCGCGGAAATGAGTGAATCCTAGAAAGCCGGACTAGAATGAGATGGCCAGCCCCCCCCCCCCCCCCCGCCCCGCCTCATTCAATAGGGGAGACACCGGAAGCCCAGAGAGGTTAAGCGACTTGCCGGAGATCACACAGCCAGCTGCTGTACTCACGTGCCCAGCTTTCGCGCCCATCCTCCCCAGCTGGGACACATTCTCGTATTAGGACACAGCAAAGTGAAGCTTCCCAAGAAGTCCCTGCAAAACAGCCCTTATGTGAAAGAGGGGCTGTTGGAACAAGATAGGGCAAACACCAGTGTGCCTGCGCACTGCTCCACCCAGTTTCTCTTCTTTATATTATAAAAAAAAAAAAAAAAAAAAAAAATGGTCTCAAATAACCCAAACAGGCAGGGTCTGATCTGCAGACAGTCTGCAGGCATCCGCCCAAGAAGCTGCCGGTCGGCTGGTCCATCCTTCACTGATTTATGTTGTGTGTGTTAAGCCTTAAATTGTTGAGACTCTGGCTGGCTGCAGTGGTATTACTGGAGGGCTGGTGCATGTTTTCAGCTCACGGAGCTGGCTCCGGGACTGGAGGTGTTGGCCTCAGATCAAGTCCAATCTCACACCTGTCTGAGACAATGAAGGCCTTGTTAGACACATCTCCAGTCAAGGCGGCTCAGGCTGCTTATTTTTCACGTTCAGAACAGAGGGGCGGGGGGCGGGGGGGGGGCGGACCTTGGGGCTGGGGAGAAGCCAAGGCGAGACTGGGAAATGCTGGGGTCAGCTGCCTCCCTTGCCCTCTCCTTCCCCCTCTTCCCTGCCCACCTCCCCCCCACCCCATTTTATAAAGTTTTCCTTATTTTTGGAAATTAAAAACAAACAAACAATACCAACAGTAGCCCTCTTATGAAGGAGAATTTCCTACTGCAAAACAGGGAGCTTGAGGCCCGTTGGAGAATAAATTCCCAGTCATCAAGGGGGTTGAACAACACCGTGGAGAAGCGGGGGTGGGGGTGGGGGGCATGGGGGCGGGTAGCTGAAATCTGAGCTTTTTCCACGCGAAGGGGTCTGTGCAGGAAGGATTTTCTCTTCTTGTTTTTCCCTTCTATTGCTGACGTTTCAGTGACCGGGGCAGTAAGCAGAGGGGAAGTCTTCCCCAGCTCTGTGTTACTCACTGATGAACTGGCAAGCTTGTGTCCCTCCTGTCCCTTGTTAGAACACCAGTGGGCCACCAGCACTTAAACGTCTGTGGACCCTTTGCAAATCCTGCTCTCCGGAGACCCTGACCCGAGGCAGCGACTGGGCAGGACCTCTTCTGGGCCCAGGTCAGCGGCCCTCAAGGCTGATGGCTGTGAGTGATCATTATTCGGTCAAAGCCACCCTGGAATGGCTTGCTTTGCATAGGACCGCACAATGTGGGATGAAAGTCAAGAGAAGAGTTTCCGGGAGTTAAGAAAGCAACCCTTTCCTGCCAGACCCCACCGTAGGCCCCACGCCAGCACCCAGTGACCCCTCTCGTGCAACTGTCCCGTCTTTGGGGGCTGGAGGAGCTCAGTGAATCTCTCCGCTTCCTTCTCGATTCGCAAGGCTCTGACTTGAGCAGGGAGGCATCTGGGTGCCAGTGGTCACTCCGTTCGGCCCGTCCTCCCACCGGAGACGGGCAGGGCCCCGTCCTTTCACCTCCGAAAAACGACTCAGGCGCTAGCTTCAGCCTCGGAGGCACAGCAGGAAAATGTGTACGCTGCTTGTTTTAAGACCTGAGGCTTTGGGGACGAAGTGGGCCCGTCTCCGCTTTTCCTAGAGCACATCCCTTTGAACTCAGCCACCCCCGGTTTCTCCATATGCGCGTCGGCCAGCTTCCCCCAGGACTCTTTCAGAGGCAGCAAGCAGAGTGAGGCCTGGGAAGCGGCAATGAGTGACGGAAAACCTGGCGAACTTCCGGCTGCCCGCTGCCTGGGTTCGAACCCCTTGTATGTGACCTTGAGCGACAACGCACGTGAGGACCCTGTGCCGTGGGAGGGGGCGTCACTGCTAAGACCATGGCCTCCCGGGAGGCCAGAGTGGGCACAGCCTCCTCCTTGAGGCCCCTCCGTCTGAACGCATTGCCTGCGGGGGATGGTGGCTGAGGAGGCAGATGTGGCCTTTCGAGCCCTCTGATGGCCAAGGGGGACCCGACACAGATGCTGCTACTGAGATCACTTCACCCACTGGTTTCTTAGCTCCTTCTCCTGCCGTGCCTTGCTCTGGGCCATAAGATTGCCACTCCCCTCCTGAGCCATCCGTGCTCGGAGGTGACCAAACGTGCACCAGCGAGCGGGGAGAGGCTGGAGCACTGAGGTCGCTGCGATCTGCTGCCTTCACCTGCCCCCTCCTCTGGCCTCTCAACACCCCCCCACCCCCCCACGTCTCCCCTGTCCTGCCTTCCTTCAGGGAGCCTGGCCTGCCCCATCTCCTCCAGGACATCTTCCTGCCCTCCGATGATCCACCCGGCCCCGCTTCTCTACTCCTGGTCCCATCCATCAGGGCCTGGCACTCCACCAAATCTCCATGCCTCGCCCTCCACTGTTACCCAGTGGGGTACACGTTGCCGCCGCCCCGGCTGTCATGGGCTCCCGGGAACGAGCACCCGAAGTTCCCTCTGTGCTTTGAGATCACCAAAACCGACTGATGAGATGCTTCCCAAGCATCCCCACAGCCCTGAACACCTGCATCCTGTCGCCCTCATCTCCAGTCATGGTGCTGAGAGCGACAGGCTCGCCTCAAAGTTGCAGGCCGGCAGGCAGGAAGCGTCTCTCCTCCTCCTCCAGACCCCCGCGGCCGCAGCCCAGATCTCCAGGGTAAGGGGTGAGCGGCAGTCCCTGAGGAAGATTGTGCCTGCTCTGGGGACAGCAGGTCAAAACGGGTCAGTAACCGGTTTTACTCTCAATTCTAAAATGTTCTTCCCGGAATGATTTCCTTCCTCCCAAAGCACCAGTGCTAGGGTGGAGCCTTGCTTCTTGGTTCAGTGATGGACTCTTCCTCGGCCTCCCAGAGCCCGGCTGGGGGCCTGAGGGAGGGAGCCCAGGTGGTCCCGCCCAGGTGCCAACACGCCCACCCCTTTCCCTTTTGCTACAAGGAAGAAGGTGGGAAGTGTCTGTGCTCCTTGACCCCCTGACCCCGTACCTTCTACAGCTCCCTGCTCTCTGAAGCTGGTGAGCTGCCCTCTCCTTCTGCTGCCTCCCCACCCCCCGCCAGGCCAGCCACTCTTGTGTCCCTGCTGTCTCCCAGACACCTGCCTTCTGCCCCAGCCCCCGTGTTCAGATGCGTCCAGGGGTCACCTCCTTCCCTCAAAGCATTCCTGATTCTTCCTGGTTCCGGCACTTTCCGAGCCCATACTTCCGAGTTCACTCCTGACCTTGGTGGCCCTCCACCCTGGCCACCTCGAACCAAGCCTCTTTTCTCCCCCCTCCCCCCCGACTGACCCATTGACGGGCCTCAGGGCCTCAGGTCCCCCAGCACTGAAACAGCCACCCCCTCCATGCCCAGTGGCTTCATTCTGTGCCTGAGGTGGATGAGAAAAGCCAAGTAGCCCCCTCCCCCGATCCCGCCTTGTGCCACTGAATCACGGGCTTCAGCTAGTGTATGCGGGCCCGCAGGCCTATCTGCAAAAATAACAGAATGTGGGCCAGCGGGGGGCAGGCCATTTGTCACCCTTCTCTGCCAACCTCCCTTTTGCTTTCTTCACCTCCTCTTCCCTCAATTCCTCCGAAAGCCTCTTTTGTTCCGGTCAAGGGGAAAGTGCTTTGGACATGTCGTTGAGACTGGTTTGCTGTTTTGTTCTTTTTTTTCCCCCCCAAAGACGGGAAGTTCCTGTTTATGGGAAAGGTTGTTCGTCTCCAAAGACGTTACAGAGCCAAGTGGCTATAGGATGATTTCTTGCTGCCCTTTTTTCAGGGTGGTACACAATACGAGAAAAAAATAATAATAATAATAATAAACCAATGAGAGAGAGTCCGTGAACACAAAAGGAGATGTTAGAATAGGTTTTTGTTGGTACTTGCATTTTCTTGTTGAAAAACAGAGCAGAGACCCTGAGGTGCAGAGGTGCGGACAGAAGCCTGATGTTATCTGGCCCCTAGAAATCCTGCCTGGAGTCCAGCGGCAGGCAGGATCCAGAACTCAAAAAGGCGCAGGCAATTGGTCCTGCTCAGTACAAACGGTGCTTTTAGTCTTTCGTAAACAGCCTGTGCCCCAGGGCTCGAATCCTTCAAAAGTTTGCCTAGGTAATTGCGTTTCATTGCTGTCTGGCGTGTGCTCCTTGGTCTAATCTGGAGGTTCAGACAGCCAGGCCAAAGCCTGTGAGACTGGAGGAGAACGAGACCGTGAATTTAATCCACTTGAAAGACAGACTAATACAAGTGCGGCTAGCTCATTATTTTAAGTGATGTGAGCAGAAAAGGGTATGGCGCTTTCCATAAAAGGGTTTAAAATCGGCGCGTTGCAGTCACTTGGCGGTTTAAGGCCATTAGAAGAAAAGGCGGAACCAGGGCGAGGGTGGGATCCTTGCTGTCACCTCCTGGTTTCTGGAAGCCTGCCTCCTCCCCACGAACACCCCAAAACACAGGGGCCATGGGGGGAAGTGATACCTTCCCTCCCTGATTTTGACTTGGGTCGTTCATGAATTCATGGCCATAGACACCGGCTTCCATTTGAGATTTGGGGGTGTTTGGGCTTCGTTTCGGGGTAGAAAGGAGATAGAAATGGTGTAAGGACTTCCCAGTCAGCCCCACAGAGCTCAGAATCCCAGACGTGTAAGCAGGAAAAGGTATCCCCTCCCTTGTGTCCACTGGGCTCTGTGCTCAGCAATCACATCCAGCCCCTTCCTTCCTTCCTTCCTCCCTTCCTTCCTTCCTTCCTTCCTTCCTTCCTTCCTTTTGAAGTCCAGACCAGGTTTTTTTTGTGTGTTTAGTATATGGTAACTAGACCAGGGGAGCAGTAATGGCTTCAATGATCGCATAGTAAAAACCAGCACTCTACAAAGAGCCAGAAGGTCTGTCCCTGCCCTGTCACCAGCCTGCCCTGGAGAACAGAGAGAGCCACTTGACCTGTCTGTGCTTCAGTGTTCTCTGAAACGGGGCTGGCTCAGAAAGGCTCTGAGGTTGCTTTCTGCACTATCGTTCCATGAGACGTTGGAATGAAACCTTAGAAATGTTGACAGTGATTTGCATCATTATCTAGTTCCATGTGACTCATGCCCGGGAAGCTTGGGAAAGGCAAGCAGTAGCCTGTCCCTTCCCAGGTGGCAAAGCCGACGGGTCAGCTCGGGAGTGATCTCGTTGCTCGTTTACACCTGCGTCTCACCCAGGACGCGGCGTGCCAGCTCCGAGTCTGGATGCTGGGCCACGAGACTGTGAGAAAGAGTCGTCCCAGATCCTGGCGTGGGGACAGAATTCTCCCTGGGCACGGCGTGACTGCTGATGCCGCGCAGGCAGACAAATGGCCTCCGGCGACCCTGGTTCCCACAAGGGCTCCGGAAGGTTCCCACCACACCCCTTATCTCCTCACACTCCTCGGTTTCGTCTGTGCTGTGCCTGGGGTGCGTGCCTACCCCGGGCTGGGTTTTCCTAAGGCACCATTGACACGTGGGTCCGGATCGGTCTCTGCCGTGGGGGAGGGGCATGCTGTGCCTTGCAGGATGTGTAGCAGTACCCCTGGCCCCCCCCCCACCCTCTAGGTGCCAGTAGTACCCTTCACCCCAGTTGTGATGCCCAGAAATATCTGCAGACACTGCCCAATGTCCCCTGGAGGAGAAACAGCCCCTGTTGAGGCCAGTCTGGGAAACTCACAAAGATCTCGCCGTCTACACAGGACCTCGATGCCTGCAACAAGGGGGCGGATCTCAGGGGTCTATAGTTGGTAGCAAATCAGTTTTGACTCTTCACTCCTGCTCTCCGCAGGTCATCCCTTTTGTTGAGCAAGAGTTTCCTAGTCTGCTGTCTCAAACTCTACTTTTTTTTTTTTTTTTCTAAATTCTTCCATGTTAGTCCCAAGTCACTGAAAAACCTATTGCTTCTCCGAGAAAGCTTTCCTTGACCTTGTAAATCAAAGCCGTTCTCTGGAGGGAGGTTTCCCACCGCCGGGCTCAGTATCATCTTTCTCAGGGTGACCTCATCTATTAAAGTATGAAGGTTGTATTTGAAATGCCATTTACTTTCTCTAAGTCAATAAATGAAACTGTGGATCTTTAGATCATCAGAGGTCTGCTTATTACCAAGAGTTTTTGTGTGTGTGTGTCATTTTTTAAATCGAGATCTGTGTTGGGAGTTTAAAAGAATTCCGGCAGATTTCCATTTGCCTTTCTGAATCCGTTTGGGGTGATATTCCTCTGCGAGTGTAGATTGCCCCTAGATGAATCTGACTTTATTAGTTTGTGTCCTTTGTTCAGAGCACCAGGGATGAGCTTGTGAAAGCACACAGCTCTTATCTTCAAAGGTCTCCTTTATGCAGCAAAAGCGCACCTCCACAACCTGTGTTACTAATCTGTTGCAGTCCCAATTAGTTCACGTGAAGGTCAGTCCTTTGGGGGGTGTGGAGCCGCTGCAGACTTAAGTGAACAAATTCCTCCTGCACGGAGCTCGCGCCCAGGTGGGGGAGAGGGCTGCGGCGGAGGCATCAGACCAAAGAGGGGGCTGTCCGCTACCGCAGGGGAAATTGATAGCAAGTCCCCCTGGCTCACAAGCCAAAGGAACCCAGTTATTCTGAAGAACTCAAAACCAGCATGGGACGGGGCGGCCGGGTGGCTCAGTCGGTTGAGCATCCAACTCTTGATTTCGGCTCAGATGGTGATCTCACAGTTTGTGGGATCGAGCCCAGCGTCGGGCTCTGCGGTGACAGCACGGAGCCTGCTTGAGAGTCTCTCTCTCTCTCTCTCTCTCTCTCTCTCTCTCTCTCCCTCTGCCCCTCCCCCACTTGCGCTGTCTTTGTCTCTCTCAAAATAAGTGAACTTTAGAAAAAAAAAAAGAAACTAGCGGGGGAACCTGTTCGTTTTAAGGAAACTGTTTGGGGTTGTTCTTCTTCACTGTGTCGCTCCGATGGCAAATAGCCCAATACTTTAGCAATTGCCGAAAAACAAAGAGCAGCATTAGGGAGCCATTTGGGGGCGGGGATTTTTTATGAATGGAGAAGCCTTGAACTTAAGAAGTGCAGCGAACACTACTCCTCCAAAAACAGGTCTGTGAAAAATAAGCCAGAGCTGGTGGGGTCAGGAGCATGTTGAGCTTTAGGAATGAAAGATGATGCTGAGCTCTATCCTGCTGTCTCTGAGACCACCAGCGGAAGACAGGCAATCCGTGAATCATGGATGTCTTGTGTCTCCGGTAAGGGTGGCCGGGGGTGGGGCGGGGCGGGGGGGGGGGAAGGAACGCCCCTCTTACGTGAAGAGAATCTGTGCGCTTGGCCTGGCGTTATTTCCGACACGGCAGAGTGGGAGAATTGAAGGGTCCAAGGCCCAATGGAATTGGCAGTGCCCTTCAAGAGGGAGAAGTTCATGGTTATGTCCATTCAGAGCACTGGAGTGGCCAAGGGATGGCCGGGAATCGCCCCACACCTGCTGGGAGGCAGGTGCTAGAGGGGCCGAGGGGCGGCTCTTCCAGGGCGCTGGCCTCCCGGCTGGGAATTCCCGGAGCCGGGCCTGACGGGTGGGAAAGGAAAACAAGAAGCGGGGTGCAGGTAGGGGAAGAAAAGTCACGGCGGGACGGCACAGACAGGAGCGAGCGCGAGGAAAACAGAAGGAGGCTGAAGCAGACACCGAGCCAGCAGTTTATGGAAGGAGGCCAGGCCCTTCAGCCGGGGAAACTTACTCTTCTCTGCTTCAGGCTGGGAGCACGGAATGGGAGCTCTTTAGCAAAGAGCTGCCACCCCTCAACGGGAGTCCCACCTCGGGAGGTGAAAGCACGGTGCGCCTTCCATTGGCCAAGCTCGGCTTTTGGATTTCGGTGCTGCGGCCGGCAAGGCGGGGTGGCGGGAGGTGGCGCGGTGCTCCCCGTGAAGGAGGCCGGTGCTCGGCAGGAGAAAGGGCTTCTGTTTCCTCTCAGTAACCTGCCGTGTGCAGCCTGCTGGAGCCTCGCACGGGCTCACCGTGAAACCACGTCTTCCCCGGGGAGGGGGCTCGAGGGCACTTTGCACCTCATGGCTGGGGAAACTGAGTCTCCAAGGGATCAAGTCACTTGCCCGAGCACACGGTGAGTGAAGGGTGAGTCCGGGCTCAGCCCTAATCTCTCAGGCTCCCAGACACCCTTGCTATGCTCTTCCTCAGGCCCTCTCGACTCCCTGAGGGACAGCCCCAGGCCGTGGGTCCCAAATCCTGGAAACGTTTGGGGGCCACACAGACGGAAGGCTCATCAAGCCTCCATTCCGCCCCCTGCCAGCACTCTCTAGATCATATTGTGTCGCGTTCTTGCTTCCCCATCTATAGGACTCCTGACTTTAATGTTTATTGATTTTTGAGACAGAGAGAGACAGAGCACGAACGGGGGAGGGGCAGAGAGAGGGAGACATAGAATCCGAAGCAGACTCCAGGCTCCGAGCTGTCAGCACCGAGCCCGACGCGGGGCTCGAACTCACAAACCGCGAGATCGTGACCTGAGCCGAAGTCGACCGCTTAACCGACTGAGCCACCCAGGCGCCCCTAGGACTCCTGATTTTATTAGAATGCCATGCTTCAGAGTTTGCTGCGTAAAACCAGAGGCGTCCGGCCTAAAATTCCAGTAAGGACGCAGCAGGGCCTGTGCTACATGGGAGAAGACACAGAGGCTGCCCGAACGGCGTCAGCCCCTCTAAAATCTGCCCAACAGTCGTAACGTTCTACAAAACCACACGAGCGCTGAGGTGAAATCTAGGGTTGCAGCCAGGAGCACGCACCGCGGGAAAGCCACCACCGGGCTGGTGGCGAGGGCGGCCTCCAGGTACCTCTGCCCCGTGCCGCCTCTGTGTCCCCCACCAGAGATGTGTCGGAGGCCAGCTGTCGGCTGGAGGGCGGCATGCTGACAACGGAGGGCCGGGGGCCGCAGAGCTGGATGGAGTGGTCTCCGAGGAAGCCAGGCCGCAGAATGACAGGACCGATAGCCGTTGAGTGCCACATCTCGTTCTGAGCTGGGCTCAAGAGCGTGCTCTCCAATACTGACAACTCACGGGGGAGGGGCCGGTGGCCCTGCAGCCCCTGCGGCCCCAGACCTAGCATCACTCCTTTTTTTTTTTTCCTTGCCTGCCACCACCCTGAGGCATCACAAGGACCCTAGCGAAGCTTGGCCACCTCACTTAGTAGGATCTGCTCACGGGTCGGCTCCTCCTGAATCTGCTTGGTCAGACCACCGATGTCCCTCTGGCAAGTCCTATGGGCTCCCCCTCATCGGCACCTGGCCTCCCATCGACAGTCTGGATCGTGGCTTGGCTTCGACAGCCTCCCGCCCTGTGCCGTGGACCAACGAAGCTCAAACCTGTACCGTCCTCTTCAGAGCATGCGCCAGCCCCGTGGAATGTTCCCTCAAAAGGTTCCGTTTCTTTAGCTCTGGGCTGTGCCAGGTGATGCTGTGTCTCTCCCGCTTGTAGCTTCCCACTTCGCGGTGTCTGTCATTTGATCCCTGTGAGCGAGGGTCCTCGTTCTGTGTCCAGGGCTCGAGCGCAAGCTAGAGGCTGCCTGAGATCTCCCAGCTGCTGACGCGGGATTTCTGGCTCTTCCTTTTCCAGGAGCCACGAGGAGGGCAAAGGGGCTAGAGAGTGAGCGGATGGGAACCGAAAGCCATCCTTAGCCTCCGCGTTTTGAGATTTTTGTTGGAGGAGAGGGAAATGGAAGAATGGAGGGAAAATAACAGGGTGGCCGTGGACTCATCTGAACATGGCAGACGGGCTGGCCTTACAGAAGTTCACCCAGCCCACCTGCAGAATCGGTTCGGACCTGGCAAGTGTGTTCAGGGGCCGAGATGCAGAGGATCTTTCCGGGGGAGGTGCCTGCAGGGGACGTTTGCTTAACAAAGTACGGGGACGTCATCCGTCTGCAGGGGAGGACAGAGGAGGACTAGAAGGTGCCTTCTGTCCCCTCGAAACCGTGATCCCCCGCCTCTCCCCCGGCTCCAACCTCGTGTGAACCGAAGGCTACTCTCTCTTTCTCTCTCTCTGCCTCGGGGACACAGCGTGGGCGGGGAAGAGCAGGTGTGCATCCACACGGCCGTCTTTTCTAGGAGCCGGTGACTCGCCGCCCCCCCCCAAACCCTTCCTCGGAGACAACCGTGCCGGAGTCCAGAGCCTTTCTCCAGACGTTGAGAGGAGAGGCCTCGTGGCGAGGGCTGAGCTGTTTCCCCTGGGAAGCGTCTGGCAACTCTAATGAGGACCGGCACTTTGCGTTTATAGAACGCCTTTCATCTGCGCCTCTCAAAGCGGCTCCACAAACATTAATTAACGCTCACACCTGTGAGGCAGGTGAGGCCGGCTGCCCCCAAGTTTAGAGATGAGGAAACGGAGGTTTGGAAGGAGAGGGGCTGGGGGTGGCTCTGCTGCAAAGAGCCGGCCTCCTGGATTCCCGGCGCCCCGACCCCGACCCCGGTGGCCTTGACCGCAGAGCCCCGGAGCCTCCCACCGTCCCCCTGGCGGGGCTCGGAACATGGGTCCCGGAGGCTGTGAAAGGTGGAGACGTGGCCACGGGGCTCCGGCTCCCTCCTTCCCTTCTGCCGCGCCCTCCTCCCCCTCCCCACCCCCCCACCGTGCCCGATCCGGACGGGACCCCTCAAAACCCTGAAGGCCTTTAAAATGCAGCATCCCCGGGCAGGTCTCTGCCCAGGCTTGGTGCTGGATGCCTCCCTCCGGAGTAATTGCTGGAACAATGAAGGCATCTTAGCTGTACATGACTAACCAAGATGTCTGTAGCCGGCAGAGACAACGGTTGGCAAATACCAGAGCTGTTTCACAACCTCGCTTTTTCCAGGATCCAGAGCTGGTGGGAGCTGACTCACATCATCTTGGGGTTTCGCTGATAGCAACAAGTCGCCACTGCGGGGTCAGCTACCTGGGCGCACTTCTAGGTGACGGCCCGCCTGCCCGCCCCTTTGGGCTGTGTGGTGTTGACTGCAGGCCTCATAGACGAGAGGACACAGCTGAAGACAGTGGGACTTCAGGGAAATGCCTCTTTCAGGACAGAGAACCACCCAACGCCAGGGGTCACGAACGCACAGGGTTCTGAAGGGAGGTGTAGGGTGTTTGGGGGTTGGGGGGGCAGCCTTTTGTTCGCAGGGGAGCCCCGATCTTCCTTCCCAAGGGTCCCAGACAAGGAAACGCAAGCCTCCACCGGGCCCGCCCTGACACATCACCCTGGAAACTGACTCACATCTCTGAGCCCTGAGTCATATCCTGTTGTGCGTTTGGAGGCATCCAAGAGGGCATTACACCAGCTCCCCATGACTGAGGTGAATCTGAAGAGCACCCTGGGAAGCACCTTGCCGTCTTCCAAACAGAAAGAGGGCCAAAAAAAAAAAAAAACAAAAGAAAAAAAAAGAAAAGAAAAAAAAATCCTCTAGGGAAAAAAACCAGGACAGCCCCAAGGGTTTGTATGTTCACCAAGCAGGTTTGGCCCTTTTAAAAATAGATGCTGGGGCCCCATGACATACATAACTGTCTGGTCTCTGTTTTTAAATGGCTCTGAAAGGTTACCAAAAGGTCGCAACTTTTAAAGATATCAGCTGGATGGCTGAAGGAAGGGCCCTCTAACTATACCAGCCGCCAGAGCTGGCGACCTCCTGGCCCCGGGCTGAGAAAAGACGCCCTGGGCTCAGGGGCGCTGCTGGGAATCCGGGTTTGGAGGGTGGGCGTTAAAGACCCCAGAGGTGGCTGGTCAGAGAAGAACCAAGAGGGGTCTCTGGCCAGGCTCTCCTGGGTGGCCTGGCGGGGGTCTGAGGACCGAGGACAAAGTGGGCCGTCTTAACCTTTTCAAAGAACAGCCTTTGGTTTTGTTGATTTTCTTTGCCACTTTCGATTTCATCGATTTCCGCCCTCATTTTTGTTATTTCTTTCCTTCCGCTTGCTTTCGCTTTAGTGTGCTCTTTTTCCTCTACTTTCCTAAGGTGGAAGCTCAGATCATCGATTCTGGATCTTTCTTCTTTTCTAATATATGCGTTCGATGCTACAAATTTCCCTCGGAGCGCTGCTTTTGCTGCATCCCGCAAATTGTGATCAGCTGGATTTTCATCTAATTCAAAGTGCATTTTAATTTCTCTGGAGACGTCGTCGTTACCCCGTGGGTTATTTTTTTTTTTTTAATTTTTTTTTTCAATGTTTATTTATTTTTGGGACAGAGAGAGACAGAGCATGAACGGGGCAGAGAGAGGGGCAGAGAGAGAGGGAGACACAGAATCGGAAACAGGCTCCAGGCTCTGAGCCACCAGCCCAGAGCCCGACGCGGGGCTCGAACTCACGGACCGCGAGATCGTGACCTGGCTGAAGTCGGACGCTTAACCGACTGCGCCACCCAGGCGCCCCACCCCGTGGGTTATTTAGAGGTGTGTTGTCGAAGCTCCAAATACTTCTTCCAGCCAACTTTCCGTTGTCGACGTTGTCGTTTTAGCTTTAAATCCATGTGGTCTGAGAATACACTGTGCATGATTTCTGCTCTTGTAAATCTGTTAAGGGTGTTTTATGGCCCAGAATGTGGTCTTTCTGGGTGAATGTTCCCTGTGAGGTTGAGAAGAAAGTGTCTTTTGCTGTTGTTAAATGGCATCTTCTATACATGTTCACTGCATCAGGCTTGTTGGTGGTACTGTTCAGGTCAAATGTGCCTTAATTTTCTGCCTGCTTGATGGATCCGTTGCTAGAAGAGTATTTTTCTATTGTTTCTTGTAGTTCAAAGTCACTTTTCGCCTCATGTTTTTTGACACTCTGTTGTTAGGTGCACACACATTAAGGATGGTTACATCTTCTTAGAGAACGGACTCATTCATCATCACGTATTTCCCCTCTTTATCCCTGAAATTTTTCCTTATCCTGAAGCTAGTTTTGTATAAAATTATTAGAGCTACCCTGCCTTTCTGTGGCTTACTGTCAGCATGGCGTCTGTGCATCTCTTTACTTTTAACCCAGGTCTTTACATTTCAAGTAGGTTCCTTGTCGACAACATATAGTTGGGCCTTGTTATTAATTCACTCTGACAGTTCCTGTGTTTTCACTGGGTGCGTTTAGAACATTCATATTTATTTTTTTTTTTAATTTTTTTTTCAACGTTTATTTTTTTATTTTGGGGGCAGAGAGAGACAGAGCATGAACGGGGGAGGGGCAGAGAGAGAGGGAGACACAGAATCGGAAACAGGCTCCAGGCTCTGAGCCATCAGCCCAGAGCCCGACGCGGGGCTCGAACTCCCGGACCGCGAGATGGTGACCTGGCTGCAGTCGGACGCTCAACCGACTGCGCCACCCAGGCACCCCTAGAACATTCATATTTAAAGTGATTCTTGATATGGTTGGATTCATACGTACCATGCTTGTACTATTTTATATGTATTTACCTGTTCTCTTTTTCTCCTCTTTTTCTGCCTTCTCTGATCTTAACGGAGCACTTTCTATGACTCCATTTTATATCCTCTCTTAGCCTATCAATTGCACCTTTTAAGAAAAGTGTTTTTAGGGGCGTCTGGGTGGCTCAGTCAGTTAAGCGTCCGACTCTCGGTTTTGGCTCAGGTCACGATCTCATGATGTGAGTTCAAGCCCCACATCGGGCTCTGTGCTGACAGCACAGAGCCTACTTAGGATTCTCTCTCTCTCCCTCTCTCTGCCCCTCGCCCCACTCATGCTGTCTCTTTCTCAAAAATAAATAAACTTAAAAAAAATTTTTTTTACCGTTTTTAGTGTTTGCCCTAGAGTTTGCAAACCACATGTATAATGAATCAAAGCCACCATGAAATAACACTACACCATTCCTTCCACTCTGTCATTACTGCAACTCATATCCTTTGTCCATCTGCTGTGACCATCCAATGTGTATTCCCTCTAACATCTAATATCACTAATGTCATTTTAGACAGTTATCTTTTGGATCAGCTAAGAACAGGAAAAGTAAGACTTTATTTTACCTTCATTATTCTTTCCCTGAAGCTCTTCCTTTCTCTGTCAATTTAAGTTTCTGACCTACATTTTCCTTTTCCTCTAAGAGCTTCTTGTAACATTTCTTGCATGGCTGTTGCGCTGGATAAGTTACCTCAGCTTTTGCAGGTCAGAAAATGTCTATTTCTCCTTCACTGTCGAGGTATAATTTTGTGGAGTATAGAATTCTAGGCTGGTGGTTTTTTGGGGGTTTTTTTCTTCACACTTTTTAAATATTTGCTACACTCTCTTTTTGCTTGTATGGCTTCCGAAGAGAACTTGGAAGTAATTCTTATCCTTCTTGCTAAGTAAGGTGTTTCTGTAGATGGTTTGGTATTTCTCTTCCTTGGTGTTCTCTGAGCTTCTCAGATCTATGGTTTGATGTCCGTCATTAATTTTGAAAAATTATTGGCCATTATGGGGCACCTGGGTGACTCAATCAGTTAAGTGTCTGATTTCGGCTCAGGTCACGATCCTGTGGTTCGTTGGTTCGAGCCCCGCGTCGGGCTCTGTGCTGACAGCTTGGAGCCTGGAACCTGCTTCGGATCCTGTGTCTCCCTCTCTCTCTGCCCCTCCCCCACTCCCCCAGCTCTGTCTCTCTCTCTCTCTCTCTGAAAAATAAACATTAAAAATAAATTTAAAAAAAAAGAAAAAGAAAAATTATTGGCCATTAATAATTCAATTATTTCTTCCAGTTTTCTCTTTGTTTTCCTTCTGGTATTTCCACTCTCCATATATCAGACCTTCTGAAATTGTCCCAGAGTTCATGGATGTTCTGTTTGGGTTTATTCTGTTTGTTTGCATTGGTTTTTCTTTCTTTTCTCTCTGTACACCTTTTAGGTTGGGAAGTTTTTAACATATTTTAAAGCTTGTTGATTCTTTCCTCAGCCATGTCCAGTCTATTGATGAACCTGTCAAAGGCATTTCCCACCTCTGTTACAATGTTTTTAACTTCCAGAATTTCCTTCTGTATCTGAGAGTTTCCATCTCCGTAGGACATCACCCACCTGTTCTTGTATGAGGTCTCCTTTTTCCAGTAGAGCCCTTAACGTATTAATCATAATTAAATCCCCCGTCTGGGAATTCCCAAGTTCTATGTCATATCTGAGTCTGGTTCTGATGCCAACTGTATCTCTTCAGACTGCTTCTCTTACCTTTTGGCATATGCCCTGTTATGTCTAATTTGAAAGCTGGGCCTGATGTATCAGGGTCATGGGAATGGAGGTAAACAGGTCTTCAGTGTGAGATTTTATGTGCATCTCGCTAGTAGTTGGGCTGCGTACAATGTTTACTGAAGCTGTCGATGCCGAGGATTCAAATTCCTCTAATGTCCTTGTCTCCCTTGTTGTCTTTGGACTTCCCTAAATGGTGTCTTTAAGCTGTGACCCGCTGTTATTATACTGGATCCCATGAAACCTGGAGGAGTTTGTGAGGCCAACTTCATGAGAGTGTCCCCGCCCCCCCCACGCACGCACATGCACACGCGTGCACGTGCGCACACACACACACACACACACACACACACACACAAGACTACAGCCCCCAGAGGTTTCTTATTCTCACAGGTGCCTATACTCAGTCTCCAACAATTTATAAAAATCACCATGTAAATGTTCCTACCAGTTTATGGCCCCAGTAGCTTCTGTTCCTGGCACGCAGACCCTCAGTGCGAATTTCTACAGTCGCGTGCCCCTCAGGACCTCAGGCTGGCGGTTTGCCCTATAGTCTCACTTCTCTAATAGACTACGAAAAGTCATGGATTACCGGTCTGTTCAGCTTTTTTTCTTGTAGGGATGGGACTGGTGGCCCCCGATGCTCTTTACGTTTCAGAGGTGCAGCAGGAAGCAGAACACCTTGACAGCAATTATTTGATAGGGTCACTTCTCACTCTGGCGACTTTTTGATGTCACTGCACCAAAAGGCGACAGCGCTCTGCTTTCTTACTGAGTAGCGTATGCCTCGGAGCTCTCTGAGCTCTTGCTTCTGCCCCGTCCGATCCCCAACATCCCCCTTCTCTGGCCTCATTCCAAACGGAAGGATGATGCTCAAAAAGCTGAAAATAACCCATCACAAGATGGCCTCAGTAGAGCAGCTGCATCAAAACATTATGTACCCTGAAAAACATAGGAGGCAGAAAGGCTCAAATTTAAATTTCTTAATCCAGTGGTTTTTTTTTTTTAAGTGTATTTATTTGTTTTGAGAGAAACAGAGAGAGAGCGAGCACGTGAGAGCAGGGGAGGGGCGGAGAGACAGAGAGAGAGAGAGAGAGAGAGAGAGAGAGAATCCCAAGCAGGATTGGGAGTGCAGGGATCTGAGAGTGCAGAGCCTGATGCGGGGCTCGAACCCACGAACTGTCAAATCATGACCCGAGCCAAAACCGAGAGTTGGACGCTTAACGGACTGAGCCACCCAGGCGCCCCTCTGGTAGTTTTCTTAGTGGCAACATGAACATCGAAGCCACCATTAAATAACCATTAAGAGTGGATCCTTGCCCCACTATCCTTACCTCAAATATCCGGTTTTCTTGCCCTTTACCACTTAATCGTCCAAGCCCAGTTCCTCTCTGGTGCTGGAGACCAGCTGGCGAGCCCTGTTATCAGTGAACAGCACGGTATTACCTGAGCCTCGCTCTGGAGCAGGTGCGCATGGCCTTACCAATATGTATCAGATGAATCCCTTAGCATGGATTCACTTCCCCTTTTTCAAATTTTTTTTTATTTTTTAAATGTTTCTCTTTGAGAAGGGGGGGACAGAGAGCGAGAGCTCAAGCAGGGGAGGGGCAGAGAGAGAAGAGAAAGAATCCCAAGCAAGCTCCTCGCTGCCAGCGCAGAGCCTGACACGGGGCTCGATCTCATGAACCACAATATCATGACCTGAGCCCAAACCGAGAGTCAGAGGCTTGACCGACCGAGCCACCCAGGCGCCCCTCCCTTTTTTTTTTTTTTTTAATGTTTATTTTTGAGAGAGAGAGAGAGAGAGAGAGCGTGAGCAGGGGAGGGGCAGAGAGAGAGGGGAGCACAGAACCCAACATGGGGCTCGAACTCACATGACCTCAGCCGAAGTCGGAGGCTTAACCGACTGAGCCACCCAGGCACCCCTATTTTCCTTTTTCATAATATAATCATAAAACTTACTCAGACTAATTGGACATTTCATATGGCCCCAAACTGGGTTACTTGCTTTATATATAGCTTACCTCACTTACCCTTCGCCACTACTTTTTGAAGTGGGAAAACTACGTAGCAGGGAAAAGAAATGACCCGCCCAGGGTACAGGCAGAATTCGGGCTGGAATCTATTCTAGGACTTCAACTAGACACTTTCCCTAGCCTGTTCCTCTGAGGTGGAACAGAAGTGTATAATGAACACCATCAGGGTAGCTCTGACCTGGGAACAGCTGTGTGCAAGCCCAGATGAGACAGACCATCCATCAGTTCGCCTGGACACAGGTCCCACACGAGCTGTCGTTCCCTAAAGGCGAGGACTACAGTCCACTCACTACCGAGTCCCCCGAACAGTGACCCCAGCAAAGCGAAAATCCTCATGGGCAACACGAACGAATAAGGATGTGAATAATTTCATTAGCCTATGAAATGGATGAATGAATGGACGAACCAATCAGCGTGAACGAAAACACGAAAAAAACTCTCAACATGACGATTCATGCAATAGCAAGAAACCTTCCCAAGCATCATCTGCTCTCAGGATCTTCACTGATACCAGCCTAGAAGTTCCAATGGGGCCGGGGCCACCTTGGTCTTATTCATGAGGCTACTACTGGCAAAGTTAGCACATGCGGGGCACACGCTAAAATTTCAAAACGAACCAAAACTTCTGTCCTTCTTGATGGCGTGACTTATCGGAGGCCCTCCCTTCAAGAACAAGTCGCCCTACTTTCTGGCGAATGGCTGACAGTGGTTCTCTTCCTCGGCCTGTGGTCTTTTCTGGATCACTTCCATCTTCTCCCGGCCTACTTCCTCGTCCCAGAATGGCTGCCTTTATTATTAAGAGCACCATTCTTCACCCCACGCTTCCACCTGATTCCTTCCTAAGTCTGATTAGCATACAAGTGAAGCAGAGAAACACTGTGTAGGACCTGTTTGAATTAGAATCCTGCGCTGTTACTGTTGGAAGGGGCTTGGAGATCATATCCTGTCTTCCAGTGCTGACCCACCGCACTGCCATTTCTCTGCTTTCTTGTGTTCACGTCGGCCCCGTCAGAGCAAGACTGGTAACTGAGCGGTAAACTCAGCATATACCATATCGTTGGCCCTAGTGTTCTGTTCTATTTTTTGCTTTTGGATTTTTATGAATAATACCTGTAGAATTAGAAAACACCCAAAAACCTGGCACGAGCAGCTCGCCATCACCACCTTCTGGCCCGTCGCTGGCAATGAACCCAAACCCAATTCACTACGGTCATTTGAATGGAAAGTGATCGGACGGGGGTCCTTTGGGTTTTTAGTGTTATCCCTCCTCCACACTGGAAAGCTACGTTGTGTGTGGAGTAAGAGTGTTGAATATAAAACCCTGGGTTAAAAAAAAAAAAAAACAATCAGAGAACTTGGACTTTAATCATAAAGATCATTTTACCAAAGCATATTTTTAAAAGGCTGTGAAACATTATGCAACGTTTGCACGGTTTAATTATGAGTTTAGAAAAGCCTAGCACAACTTTTTCACTACAGTAAAACATGACAGAGCATGAATCATGGCCTAATACTTTATGCTTACTGTGGTTTTAGACACGGGGTTAGGGGAAGCTGGGCTGTCTACACAGCAAGGCATGAATTACTGAACCGCAATTCACACCCCGGAGGGCTTTATGACAATTATAAAACCTCTTTTGTTTGTTTCTTAAATGATTAAAATATTTGAGTACTATATATTCCCGCAGCAAATGTGTACATCTAAGACATATGCATGCCTTACAAAGATATCTGAGTCTACACTTTCTTCTTCACTTGGAAGAAAACGCTTGCAGTAACAGGGGGATACAGAACATCCTGCTGTTGCTGTTTGCTTACAATTATTGGAAACACTGTTGTCTGTAAGATTGCAGGATCTTTGGCTGTAGTTGAACATTCGTTTCCACTGAGTTTAGAATGGACCAGCTCTCTTACTCCTTGCCCTCTGCTCAAATTCCCCCAAATTCAGAATGACATGAGGGCCCTTCTTTAATATTAGATTTCAGAGATTCTAAGTTAAAATATTTCCCCAGAGTTTTCAAACTTAAAGAATTGAGTTATTTTATTATTTTTTGGAGAGAGAGAGAGAGAGAGAGTGTGCGCATGCACGCGAGCGGGGGAGAGGGGCAGAGGGAGGGAGAGAGAGAATCCCAAACAGACTCCGTGCTCAGCACGGAGCCCAAAGCGGGGCTCGAACCCACAACCTGGGGATCATGGCCTGAGCTGAAATCAAGAGCTGGAACGCTCAACCGACTGAGTCACCCGGGTGCCCCCAAAATTGAGCTATTTTACAGGAAAGAAAGAAATGGATCCACGTGAGGGAAAGGGGAAGGGGCGGGCAGGAAGGTGGGGGAGGAGACCTGGGTCTCCAAACCCCTGCTTTGACGGCTTCCAACAGATCAACAAAAACAGCAAACTTAAACTGTTGGAAATGCAAATTCCCCGTTGGAAGTAGAACTGGACGTTTTATAACGAGTAGGAATAACTCACTTCTTTATGTCCTGGCACATACACAGCTTGTGACTGGTATTTTCCTGAGGAACACTGCTCTTTCTAGATTGACTCCCGGCTTCATGCAGCCCGGGCTATGAGGACCCTGGGGACTGGTGTGGGCCACAGAGAAGGTGGGACGCAAAGAGAAAATCGATGTTTAGCCCTAAAAAAAAAAAAAAATGGAAAGCTATCTCTGGCGGGCCAACATTCCATTTAAATTTGCTTACACGTCTTGCCTAAGAATAGAGGGTTTGTTCCTTTTTTTTCCCCTCCATTTCATCTGCAAACAGTGTGATGCTTTTGAAACTAAGACTTCTGTGAATGCTGGAGTCAAATTTACCAAGTCCTTTTTACCTAAATCTTCTGAAGTCAGAGTTTTGTCTCTTCTCTATCCCGGGCCTCATTTATTGGCCGTCTATAAAATACTTGCTCAACATTCTGCCCTTTAAACACGGCAAACTGGAGGTCTTGAAAACATGCAGGACAGCTGTTGGTCTGGGTTGGTACCTGTTGGTCTGGGTTGGTAGGGCTAGATCACTACTGCTGGGCTTGTGAACTAGTCCCCAGGCCCCATCACCAGCTTCCCAGCCAGACCCTCTTTTCTGTCATCCTTGGGAGGGAATTCGCGTAAACGGAGGACATTTAAAAGCCCTTAGAGTATTTTTGCCAAAGGTCCAAAAAAAAAAAAAAAAAAAATCAAAGCTCTATGTTCTTTTTTGCTTACTGACTACAGATGGATAGGTGATCACCTGAGTTGATGAAATGTTTTGGAGGATGAGAATTGTAACTCGCGGTAAAGCTGGGCGGCCAGTACGTGTGGTAGTTCAAGAGGTGGGTGGGAACACCTACCTGGAAAGCATCTTCAACCTCTCCCGTCGTTATGAGCGTGATCAAGTGAAACCTTTGGAAGGAACAGTCATCCGGGGGAAATCTTCGAGAATAAACTATATTTCACACAAACAATAATTCAGTAACTTTGGGAGGAGGGGGGAGATTCTCGAACAAAAGCAAATACTTGGACTTACTACAAACCGGTCAACAGGCCACGGGACGTATGACAAACAAAGGTGACTAGCTTTTTATTAAAAGGTTTCTTTTCTTCAATCCCACCCCACCTGACGTATGACTGACCTCTCCAATCCTCTGCAGACACAAGGCAGATCCAGCCGTCCCCACCGTGGTCCTATGACCAGTCCTACCAGTACCTGGGATCAATCGCCTCGCCTTCCGTACACCCAGCAACACCCATCTCCCCTGGACGGGCCAGTGGCATGACAACCCTCTCCGCAGAGATTTCCAGTCGACTCTCAAGTAAGCTGCTCGAACACACTCTTTGAAGTCGAGCTAGAGTGGAAGGCTCGAGAGACTGGAGATGCCTGAAGGGGCTGGCAGTCATTTGGGAGGGGGCGGGCAAAATGTGCTTTAAAGACAAGGTTGTCTAAGTCCTATACCCGTGCACGGATTTTCCCTGACACCTTGAGACGGGGATTATGAATGCGAAGGCAGAAGTGGATTCTGTGGGCATTTTGGGCTTGCTCACATTTGGCAGACAAAGGTAGCAAGCAGCTGAAGGGTTAATAATACACAAGGTCAAAGTAATCAGCGTCTAGAACTCTGATGGAACGGTCCATCTGGTGGTGGCCAGCTTTCAGAGGCCATGTGAACAACACTGGGGTACCCGTGCTATACCCCACGTGAGAGATTTCTTTGTTTTTTTTTTTAACATGTATTCATTTTTGAGAGCCAGAGAGAGAGAGAGAGAGAGAGAGAGCGTGAACAAGGGAGGGACAGAGAGAGGGAGACACAGAAGCCGAAGCAGGCTCCAGGCTCCGGGCTCCAAACTGTCAGCGTAGAGCCTGACTCGGGGGCTCGAACTCACAGACCACAAGATCATGACCTGAGCCAAAGGCTGAACCGACTGAGCCACCCAGGCGCCCCCACGTGAGATATTTCGAATGAAGGGATGTTCGCACCAGACTAGAGGAGCAGAATGGAAAGCCTGGGTGCCGTGGTTAGCATAATTGTTGTTAATACGAGCTCATTAAATATTAGTCATGTAACCTATGAGACCTCTGGGCTTGGCACTCACCTTTGCTCGTGGGCAGGGAAATCGGAGTGAGAGAAAAATTCCTTTGTTAAAAGCAAAGGAAGAAACTCCCTGTTTGGAGCTTTGGAATTGGAGCTGGGCCAGACTGTGAAAACAGCTCCGAGAACTTCAGCCTTGTGAAGCCCGCAAGCGCACTTCACGTGTGTTGGGAAGCGGGTGGTGGTTTTGGCTTTTCAGCCCTTGAGATCCGATTAGAGTAGATCAGGGGGCAGGCAAAGGGGCTAAGGCCTCTTGTCCGCCATTTTAAACGCTCTGGGTAACACTGTGTTTTCCAGACAGTTGTGAGTCCTCGAGATTTCACCAAACGCTTCGGCTTCTTCCCAGAGCTTCTCAACTGCAGCACCACTGACAACTGGGGCCAGAGAATTCTTGGTCGTGGAGCGCTGTCCCGTGCACTGTAGGATCTTTAGCAGCATCTCTGGCCTCTAGATACAGCCGTCCCCCACCCCCCACCCCCCATCAGGACAACCAAGGATGTCTCCAGACGTTGCCAAATAGCCAGAGGTCCCAAACTGCCCCCTTAGCTGAGAACCACCACCTTCGGGTATTCTCGGGCACTGTAGTGAAATGGGAGAGCCAACCTGGGTGCCCACTTCCCACATTATTGTCGACTATTAATGCCCGTATTTTCAGGGCACCTGCTGGGGGCTGAGGAGTTGAGGAAGTAGCCTAGGAATTATGACGTCTGCTCAGCTTGTTGTTTTAGAAGTTCTGTTCCCTCGGGACTAGTTTGATTCCAAAGGCACTTGTCAACTTTTATTGATTCTTCTCAGTGGCGCTGCTCGGCTCTCTACATCTGAAACAATTACTGTTTTCCTTGGAAATGTGCCTGCTGTGGGTCCCTTGGAGTTTATTACATAAGACTTTTGACTTGGTCAGCACCCAAGATCCGCACCTTCTAGAGCCCTAGGAGACAGCTGCTCCAACTGACCAGGGTTCAGATGGGAGGGTGGCTTTTTTTTTTTTTTTTTAAGGAATGAGTAGCGTGCCCTCCCAAGTCCCGTGTCGCTGTTACACTTCTGAATAACCAGGACTTCAGTTACCCAAAGAGTAAGGAAGGACGTCTTATGTCATGAGGGTGTGAAGTACACAAAAACCCCGTCCCATTTCAGCGCCCAAGACTGTCTTGGAGGGAGGGCGGAGAGGATTCCAGATGAGCTTTCCCCCGGTGGCAGGGAAGGGCATGGGACGCTGCTCTTCAACTTGGCAGATCTCCCTCTGAGAATTCAAGCCTGGAGCACAGGCCTGCAACGTGTTGTCATATGCCTGGGGGCAGTGGGGGGGTGGGGACACATAAAAGAAAAGTGCCTGCCGGTCTGCCAGCTTTGAGAACCTGACACTGCTCTGACTGCTTTTCCTTTTAATCCCGCCCCAGAGCTCTGAGATCTGCCCCTCTCCCCGCCCCCAGCCCCACCTGGACTTCCTTCTGCGAAGGGGCCTTGCCCTCTGGTCTCCCCCTCTTTCCTCTGCAGACAGTCTCCACACCTTGTCTGAAAAGAGATGTCATCTGGAGGTTTTCCTTTATTTTTTTTTTTTTTCTTAAAAAAAAAAATTAATGTTTAGCTGCCAACCTGGGCGACAGACAGCATGCATTAATCTGAGTCATGCAAAAGATCCTTTTAAGGCAGCCATTATCTGCTCAGGCTGTTTAATCCTTTGGGGGCAGTGGGAGGGGCCTGAGTGGGACAGCTTTCATCCATGTCAAGCTGCAGAACGAACACTTGGGCTGTCACGGCAAATATTTAGCCCCGTCGGTGGGGAAACATTTCCAACGAAAATACCTGAACCTCCTAATCCCTAGATTTCCTACTTCTTAAGAGCTCCCTGTGACTATTAGGGGTCGCCACCCCCACACGCTGTTGAATAAGGGGGCACCGGGCCAGCCGAAGGGACACATGAGCTACAGCCAGGTGGGGTGAACGGTGCATGGCGGTGGGGCCTGGTAGGAAATGTCAGACTGACCGTAAAAATGGCAACAAATATTTGAATAGACCATGTGAATCGGACCGTATCTAGAGGGCCGCAGCGCTTTTTCTATCAAAATGCGTGAGGAAGGATGGCTTGACCGGACAGATGGCCTCTGGTGGAGTGGCATTGGAAGAAGAATCACGGGCCGTACTGAAGATCTTTCAGATATCCTGCCCACAAGTGAAAGGGCTATTTTCCCCTGACAGCTGAGACCGTAACATCATTCCATGACTTACATCCGTGACCAACCGCGGACTCACTCGGGATTACGGTAACTTGGTACCATCACCAGGTTACCATGTAGTAGCTGGAACACACTGGCAGAACATGTCCAGACATCGCCATGAAACAGGGGTGACCTTTCATTCATTTTTCCAGTGGATTCACCTTTGTGTCTCAGGGCAAGTGGAGCAAGAGGCATAATGGGCAGAGTCATTAGCCTGTGTCCAGAGTTCTTGCATCAGATGCCAACAAATTGATTGCATTTGCCTAATGCTTCTCCCTCGACTATAGAAATCTCACTGGAAAAATGGAGTCAAGCTTCCTGTCACGGCTCTCCGTGTGAGCAAAAACAAGTGACACAGAGCTTGCTCACAGACGGCCCCAGAAAGCGGGCAGGGACGAACGCTGTGGAATGAGGTGCGGCCTGGCTTCAGGACGAGCGAGAGCGTGGCCGCGGAAGGGCAGCTCTAGAACCACTGTCAGTTCACAGCGTTTTCCCTGCCCACATGTCTGACTCGCTCTGAAAAGATTAACAGCAGTGTTTGTTTGAAAGGCAGACTCCTGGTTTCCTCATTAGCAGGGAGATTGGCTGCAGACTTCGGTTGTTTCTATAAACTTTGATTACCTCTCTGATGAGGAGTATAGACCTCCTCATCACATTCACCCCAAATTTACAGAGGAGTTCATTCGAGAGAGGGAAGGAGGAGAAGGGAGAAAGGGAAGGAGGGGGGGAGAGGGAGAGAGAGACAGGCAGAGAGAGGAGCACACTAGCTCTCCCTGCTGGAATAATAGGCTTGAAATATGAGGAAGTTGATCAACCCCGGATGCCTTCCAAAAACAGATTAATCCACCCTGGTAGCTTTCCTTTCAGAGCAAACTCTTGGCTCCGTTAAGTTGCTCTATGGGCCTGAACACAAAAGGACACAGGCTACATGCCATCCTGAGCTTGGAGTTATTTTATACGTTGGTTTCAGAACTTAACAAATTTTAAAACGTTTCATTCTTTTGGATTTGCTGATGTCACTTTCTGAAGAACAGAAATTACGCCAGGACACCATCCTGCATCTACAGTGGTGGTTGTCAGTGGGGGCGGGGGAGATGGTGGCTTTGCCCCCCTCACCCTACCCCCAGAACACTGGGCAGGGTCTACAGACATCGTTAGTTGTCGCCATGCGGGGTGTGGGGGCACCACTGACATTTGGTGGGCAGAGGCCAAGGACGCTGCCAAACATCCTACAATGCACAGGACAGCCCCCCACCGCCCCAACAAATAACTATCTGGCCCCACATGTCAATAGTGCTACTGTTGGGAAACTGATCTACAGGACACAGGGAGCACTTCCTGGCATCCAGACCCCCTAGTAGTTCCCAAGGGCAGCCTGTGGTTGAGAAAAATGCAGAAGGATGCAGGGAAGGTCAAAGCCGGTTTCTGAAACCATAAATGCATGACCCTAACAAAATGAGTTTTAGAGACAAAGCTTTGCCATTCCTGGTAAAACTTCAGCGTGTGCAAAAATGGAGTATATACATCAAGGCCCTGCGGCCACTTGTGTTAACAAAGCAGTGAAGCACAGAACCAACGAAGCGAACCGGGTGAAACTGAGGCTGTATTTTTCTACCAATGTGGAACAAGTCTAAAGATAGACGTAGGGGAGAGAGCCGTGGTGATATTCACTGCCACTCATTCTCATTAGTATGGCACGCATTAGAGCAAATCATAAGAAATTGCCAATTTTTAATTGTTTGAGGCCTACAGAAACAGCAGCTTCCTATGATTCAACCTAAATATTATGTATAATGTATTGTTATTATATATTAATATAAGTGTCATATTATGTAGGATATATTCTATTAATATTCACCTGCTCATGCAGCCATTACATTAGCATTGCATAATTTTATAAGTTACATCTTGTTATTATTATGTTCATATCACAGATTACACTTATATTGATATTGGCATATTAATATACTGATGATAGAGGGCTGGTCAACTTTTTAATGTAAAGGGCTAGACAGTAGGCATTTTACGCTTTCTGCCAACTTTTTAATGGAAAGGGCCAGATAGTAGGTATTTTATGCTTCCTGGGTCCCACGATCGGTCCGTGTCCCGACCACTCAACTTTGCGGCGGTGGCTCCACAGCAGCCCCGATAATACATCAAAGAATGAGCAAAGCTCCTTCCAACGAAAGGGTCAGTGTGGCCACTGAAATTTGAATTTCACGGGACCTTCACGTCAGGAAATACTCTTCTTTTCACTTCTTTCAACCATGTAGAGAAGTAAGCTTGTGAGCCATGCGAAAATCGGTAGCAGCTGGAAGGCGGGCTTGTCAACCCCGCTACACCGATATCCAATCATACGTATCGTATCTACCGTATTGGATGTTACATTACATCGTTTACAATAACGTGGTATCGCACACGAACTCACGTTACGCGTCGTCCTATACGGCCGTCCACCCACCTCCCTGCCCACTAGCATGCTGGGCAGGCCCGGGCTCCGGGGACAGCAGCATTCTGGGTAGCCACGTGGGCGTGGCCGTGGGCGGGAGGGGCGTGGCCTCCCCCACCAGCGCCTGACGCTTCTCTTCTCCCCCCCCCACCCCGCAGCGGCGCCCGACCTGACGGCCTTCGGCGACCCGCGCCAGTTCCCCGCGCTGCCCTCCATCTCAGACCCTCGCATGCACTACCCCGGCGCCTTCACCTACTCCCCGACGCCCGTCACGTCGGGCATCGGCATCGGCATGTCGGCCATGAGCTCGGCCACGCGCTACCACACGTACCTGCCGCCGCCCTACCCCGGCTCGTCGCAGGCGCAGGGCGGCCCCTTCCAGGCCAGCTCGCCCTCCTACCACCTGTACTACGGCGCCTCGGCCGGCTCCTACCAGTTCTCCATGGTGGGCGGCGAGCGCTCGCCGCCGCGCATCCTGCCGCCCTGCACCAACGCGTCCACGGGCTCGGCGCTGCTCAACCCCAGCCTCCCGAACCAGAGCGACGTGGTGGAGGCCGAGGGCAGCCACAGCAACTCGCCCACCAACATGGCGCCCGCCGCGCGCCTCGAGGAGGCCGTGTGGCGGCCCTACT